CTCGGACTCGGACTCGGACCCGGACCCGGAGAGGCCGCTGCTGCCCCGTGGGAGCGGAACAGCGGGAAACGATGGGGTGAGTGATGAGGCGAGTGATGGGGCAATTTCTTGGGGGGTGAGTGACGGCATCAGTGATGGGGTGAGTGCCGGGGGTGAGTGACGGTGTCAGTGCTGGGGGTGAGCGATGGGGATTTTTTTCTCCTTGTTTTCTTTTTTTTTTTTTTTATTGGGAAGCAGTGTGTAACTTGTGCTCACAACACCTGTACCGTTGTGTAAAGCTTTACCTGACTCGGTGAGTGAAAGGATGTCTGCTCAGAAGTCAAACAGCCTGGCAGGCTGTTGTCGGAAAGATGGCTTTACATTCGCTGGGATGGAAGGTTAACATTGCTGCATTGGGGAGGAATTATTGCTGGAGCAGCCGGGAGTGCTCAGCCAGCCTGTTTGAGCCAGGTTCTGGGGAAAGGTGCGCCGAGGTAGGCTCTTCCTCCCTAGTCCTTCAGATTGTATCAAGTTATAAAAACCAAAAGGTAGACTCTTACTGCCTGAGGCCATGGTGCTTCAACTCATCAGGATAACCTGCAGTTAAAAACACTCTTCCTCAGGAAAACAGGAGAGTCCCCTCTGCTGTTCCTGGGGTCTTGTCCAAGGCAGCAGCCAGCGCTAAGAATTTCAACTGTGACTGAGAGTGATGTTTTACTGGGGACAGAAAGATCTGAGGAGACATTCCTTGTCAGAAAATCAGGTTACAGCTCTGCCACCTTAAGCTCTTCCATCCTCCTTGGGCTCCCCAGGGAAGTGGTTACAGCACCAACCCTGGTCAGAGTTGAAGGAGCATCTGGACGACACTTTTAGTCACATGGTTTAGTGTTAGGCAGTCCTGCGAGGAGCAGGGAGTTGGACTTGATGTTCCCTGTGGGCCCCTTCCTTAGGGAACCACTTCGAAGTAGTTTGTGATTCTATGATTTGTTCCTAGAGCCTTCCCTGGAAGGAACAAGGTTCAGCCATGCTGTGGGTCAGGTCAGGAAACCGATCCAGCTGAAAACGCTATTTAATTTTCAGATGAATCAGCTTTTTGATTTGATTGTACAGGGACCTGCTGCATTACAGCTGCTTTGCTCTAGCAGCATCCACGAGCATTTGTCACACACCCAGACTCCTTTCTTTTGCCCAGGAAACAGCCATAGCCTGTTTTCCAGATTTGTTCTTCTCTCCATCATCTCCTGGATGATTCCTCCCTCCTTCCACCCCAACAAGGTGCTTTAATGTCCACTTGCTTTTGCAAGGCATCCTCTTGTATCTCCTCCAGTCTTCCCGACCCTCCCCAGAGTGAGCAGACAAGCCAAAGCGGGTTGTGTTATGGGAGTGCACAGGTACCAACACCCTCAGCCCTCTGTACCTTCTTTCCATTGGAATGGCTGATCTCTGACTCTCGGTGGTGTTTGCAGCTGACGCCAGCGCTGTGACTGATGGGCATGTGGGTTTGGGGTCACTCGGTTCTGCTTCAGGCTTCCACCTGCCATGCAGCGAGGGGGCTGCCCTGGGGACCCTGCCAGTCGGCTGCGTGGGATGGTGGCACGGAGCCTTTTAGCGCTCTGAAAGCTCTGCTTAGTAATGCCTCACACCATGTGAGGTCCATCGATCTGTGCACACAGCTGTGGGGCTTGATGGGAATGGCATGTACCAAACAGGACAGCCACCTTCTCCAAGAACCCGAGACAGAGCTTCTAAACAACTCTCCCCTTCCAAATGTGGCATATCTGTAAATGCCGGTGTGCAGAGTTAAAAGGTTCCACCCCAAATCAGTAGGTCAATGCAATTTAAAATCACCAGAAACATCTAAAAATGGATATCAGTAAAGGTGAGGAAGCAGAGATTTTTGTCTCTAGGGAATTGTTCTTGTGCATCTAGCGCTGTGGACTGGTTTGTTTGTATGTGGTGTAAGTGGCTCCTCTGTGAACTGCATGCCT